ACATTGCTGTCTATGGAGGGTCAGAAAGCTCTCAGATTTCATCAAAAATATCTTCATTTGTGTTCTGAAGATAAACAAAGGTCTTATGGGTTTGGAAAGACATGAGGGTGAGTAATTAATGACAGAATTTACATTTTTGGGTAAACTATCCCTTTAAATCCATGGCGTGCGTTCTGTTTCACAGTGAAAAACAAAGTATAACAAAGAATATGGGTGATGTTCTCTGCTTTCATGGGATGTTTTTAGTGGCTGCCAATTTTCAGCTATTGAAGCACGCAACATCCGGTAGGTGACGCTTGCTCACTCTCATTGGCTATCGCGGGTATCACGTCAGAGGCAGCCCGATCAAACATGTTTGATATTTACGATTTGAGTTCGGGGACGCTCCGTCTCGATCAGGAGCAGATAAATAATCGTAATGACACCACACAATAGAGGATTTTTTGGACAAAAAATCGTTTGCGACAAGCCGTGAATCGGGCCCCCGATCGTTCAGGGATGCAAATCGGCCTTAAAATCGTCTAGTGTGCAGCCAGCCTTAAAATATTTTATTTTTATTTATTTAAAATAAATATTTTTAATGAAATCCAAGAGCTTTCTGACCCTGCATAGACAACGTAACCACCATGTTCAAGGCCTAGAAAGGTAGTAAGGACATCTTTAAACTATTCCATGTGACATCAGTGGTTCAACCATAATTTTATGAAGCTACGAGAATAGTGACATCAGTGGTTCAACCATAATTTTGTGAAGCTACGAGAATACTTTTTTGTGCGAAAAGAAAACAAAAATGACAAATTTATTCAACAGTTTCTTCTGAGTTTCCTGTCAGTCTTTGACGTGTGCTCACGACAGTAGCATGCATGCGTGTGGTGCATGACGTGGAACCCGAATGCACTGCGCCTTGTTTACAAGTAGAGGAATGCACTCACATGCATTATGGTACTGTTGTGAACGCGCGTCGAAGACATGTAGACTTGTTTTCTTTGTGCACAAAAAGTATTCTCATAGCTTCATAAAATTACAGGTGAACCAGACATGAGGATGAGTAATTAATGACAGAATTTAAATTTTTGGGTAAACTCCCTTTAAAGGGGTCATATGATGCTGCTAAAAAGAACATTATTTTGTGTATTTGGTGTAATGAAATGTGTTTATTCGGTTTAAGGTTAAAAAAACACATTATTTTCCACATACTGTACATTATTGTTTCTCCTCTATGCCCCGCCTTTCTGAAATGCATTGATTTTTACAAAGCTCATCGTTCTGAAAAGCGAGGTGTGCTCTGATTGGCCAGACCTTTGTACAAATCGACACGTTTCAGAAAGGCAGGGCATAGAGGAGAAACAATAATGTACAGTATGTGGACAATAATGTGTTTTTTGAACCTTAAACCGCATAAACACATTTCATTACACCAAATACAAAAAAGAATGTTCTTTTTAGCAACATCATATGACCCCTTTAAGTAACAAACTAAGTCAATTAAGGAAATATTTTAGCATTTTGGAAAAATCCACTCATAAGAATGACAAACATGAAGTAATGTTTTAAGGTGACTAGAAGCCATGTGATAAAGTCAATTGATTTAAATTGACCTGTTTAGTGCAAATCCAATCCAAATCCAACCAAATATCCTTGTACAATGGTCCTTAACCATTAATCATGGTATTGGGAACACTGACCTGGAGCGCTTTTTGCCATGGAGATAAATACCTGAGGAAAACCTGTTTCAGTCAGTCAGACACATCAGCATTTTGAGTTCAGATCCATTTTTTTTATGCACAACAGGCTTAAAAACTATTAAGGCGTGGCCCAAACCAGAATAATACGAGAATGAAATGAGAAACAGGAACAAAATGTCACAAAAAAAGCAGCAATTCTGTGAATGACAGACTTTTATTTAATTAATTAATTTCTCCAAACCTAAAATACAGAAAAACATATTTTGATAGAAATATTCTGTGAACTAATACAACAGGTCCTGCTTTCAAAGGTCCAATGGCTTTTATATCCAAATGCTGCCTTAAAAGCTGTAGTGCCATGTTAAAAAATGTGACAGTGGGGTTTAAACATATTCAAACGAGCAAGAAAGTAACAAAAATACTTGATGAAGCCTACAGTATGCTACACAATATACCTGGTCATCAAAGGCAGACTATTGGCATAATTGAGGTCTTGAGTTTGTTGGGTGAATTAGGGTAATCTGGGTCATTTTTGCATGTTTGACTGCCACCTCAACACTTTACACAATCAAACAAGACTTCATCCTATGACAGCCCAGTTAGAATATGGTACAGTTAGCATAGACTTTGTTGGCTTGGACACATCGGAGCTTTCCCGACGTTCCAAAATGTCCCAGAATACCCTATTTTACCCTAGTGTTTTTCTTGAAGCTACAGGAGATAAACACCTGTATTTAACAAGATGCATGTTGTGCTTGACACGGCAACATTCTGTCTAGATGTGCTGATTATTTGGATGCAGCTGAGAAAAGCACGGAAAGTGAGGGTTATCTGGCTGGTTTCAAGTGCCTCTTTCAAGTCTTCCCACTTCATCAGAGACCTAAACGCAAAAATCAATGAGACAAACGAAATTTCACCTCAGTCATCATTTCCACAAAATGCTCCCGAGAGTTCAGTTGCCTGTCCTACTTTGGCAATGGCTTTCTCTCCAATGAGTCCTGCAAGAGTCATGCCGTTCTCTCGGTTGTATTTGGGGTGAAATACAAACCTCCAACTAAACAGACAGAATCTTGACTCTCCCGTTAATACAAGTGGTTTTCGAGGTCCATCTAATAGCTGTTCTAGTAAAGTTTTGGCATCAGCTTTAATGGCTTCTGGTTGAGTCAAAATCAGGAATGAATGTTCTCGTTCAGTCCTCATTCATAGAAAACCTCTGTAGGAAACAGTTCGGTGTCTATATGAGCGCTGTGGTCCATTCCCCTTGACGGAACAAACGGCTGGTGCTTCAGGTAAGTGAGCAGGTGATGATGTGGCAGAAAGGGGCGTGGCTTGCTGACAGATTCTCTGTATCGGCCATGACCCCATGGCAGCTGGGGTGTGATATGGATTATGGGGGCAGGATCAGGGCCCGTTCTCATTGTAATGGAGTGAGATGGGTCGGTCTCTCTGGACAGGCATGTAAGGCCAGTTGTAGCTGGAGCCGGAAAGTAGCATATCCCGCAGCAGGGTCTCGATGGGCGTTTTGCCTACCAGTCGCACAAAGAACAGCTGTTCGATAACAGGAGAAGACACGATGCGCAGGGAGGGCAGCCGTAACAACAGGCGGCCGAATCGGTTGGGTTGATTGGGGTATTGGTTACGCACATACTCCTCGAGAGCGCACTGGGACTTTTCCTGGATACTCTCCACATGGGCCACATCAGACAGACCCATGGCATCTGAAGAAGAAAGTAAAAACAGATGGGAAAATTAAGAAATACTGTACTACTATCTATCAACCCATCTATCCATCTTTCTACAAATCAATAAATCTATCTATCTATCTGTCCGTCCGTCCGTCCGTCAGTCTGTCTGTCTATCACAACTGAAAGAAATTCAACACATGTCTATCTATCTGTCTGTCTGTCTGTCTGTCTATCTATCTATCTACATACTACGTACACTTAATCCTGCTGAGCTTCAGTTCTGATAACAAAAGATTAATTGCTTCATATTTCTATGAGGGCGAGGATACCTGCTGAGTGGGACACAACCGACACTTCTGTCCCATGAGTCCAGATAAAGACATGTATAGTTACGGTAGGCAGCGTTTTGTAAGGGGGGCACTGATGCGTCAGTCCCTGGCGTAATGTCAGCGGTGACAAGCCTTGCGTGCTTCTGTGCCAGTCCCCCTCACGCTGGCATTGCACGGCAAAAGCGTCCCCCTCTCTTTGTGTTTCACAGTGTGAACACGCGCTGGGAGCTGCCACCGCACCGCGTCGGGCAATCGGGGTGACTGGCTGACATTAGAGGCCTGTCGGGTGATGTGAGGTGATAGGAGGTTTGGGCTGAGGTTACGGGCCACAAGAGTTTGTCTGTCCCTGTTAGCTCATGCTGGCGGATCCCAGCAGGGGGTGGAGGGGGGATTTGGCTGGAATTGCAGGATGGATCACATTGATGCCCAAGGCTACAGAGGTTATGTAGGTCACGGCCAGACTGAAGCGAATCCCTCTTGCTGCAACTCAGCATGCATAATTCAGTCATGTTGGTGGAAGTTGAGGTGGGGCGGGGGGCTGCTTGGCTGGTTTCAATAATAGATGGAAGCGTGAAGGATTGAGTGATAAAAAAACGAATTGAGAGTGGTGGGTTCAGTCATCCATTTGGAAAAGTGCAGGACTGGGCTGGAAAAGGGTTTCTGACAGGTAGAGCAGGGAATCAGAAATAATCTAAACCAGTGGGCAAGACATCTCTCAGTCTGAAGCTCTATACCAAAGCGTTTGGCAGCGGCACTGAAAATCCTGCCCATCATGAATGTTTTGGGTGTAACATGTAGTTTGTACAGTAACGTACGTTATGTAATCTGGTACCCTTTCTATTTATTTCGCTTAGTTAATAACAAACACGATTGGAAACCTCAAAAAATAGTCTCAGGACTACTGACAACTAGGGATGGGTATCGTTAAGGTTTTAACGGTATTACTACTCTTAATAACAATGGAAACCTCAAAAAATAGTCTCAGGACTACTGACAACTAGGGATGGGTATCGTTAAGGTTTAAGGTTTATTACTACTCTTACCGATACTGCTTATCG